CTATAAAGATCCGGTGTTACTCTTCGACCTATCTACAGATAATATATATGGTCAAAACAGGTTAAATGGTTAAAATTTATGTTGAACATATACTACACAGCCATACATATTACATACAGGCATTTAGGTAACAGATGTTTTGTATTTATTACACTGCACTCGGGCACTAGCGCATGTATATTGACGGCCCACACAGTAACAGATGGTGAGAGATAAAAGGTTATAACAAGATGTCAGTCTGCCATCAGATATGAAAACTGTTACTATAAATAACAAGACTTGTAAACATTTCTTCAAAAACTTCGCTAGAAAGAATTGGAATGACAGAAAAGTATTCTGACACAGAAGCCTTTTTATAATACTTAAATGATGCTGTAGTACTACCATACATAAGGAAAACTGATTTAATCTGACTTTTTTTCCCAAATCCATCCAGTTAGATAATGAGGTGTTTTTCTTTTTCAGACGCAACCTGATTATCTAACTGGGTGCATTAAAAAAGTTAAGCAGATTAAATCAGAGTTTTCCTTATATTTATATAAATGGGAAGTTTTTGAGTAATTATGGGCACTTCCACTGACAGAGATATATTCTACATGCAAGTTTCTTGGCAAGATTTTTGTTCGAGTCGACGTCTGCGAGATCATTGAAGTTACTATAGCGAGTATCTAACGAGTCGCATTACAAACTGTCTCACTCATCGAGTGATTATCTGGCTACGTGTACTTATCTGATCCTCACGAGTGTATCTGTTCTAAGTAATGCAAGGGCTAGATTGGATCCAGTTTTGATTTCTTGTAATAAGCTTCGGTCATTCAGGGCCATGAAATAATGAGTGACATAGATGCATATTAAAATTGAGGTGGTCTTGCATAAGATTGGCAGTGTTAGTTACTACTCAAGAAGCCATAGTTTTCATCCAATTTTCAAGAAACTTGAAATGTGGCTTATATATCAAGAACTTGAAGATAAAGAGTGACAGATATTAATGAAGCAATCTTGCATTCGATTGTCTGAACTATATGCCACGCTTGAAGACCTCTGACTTTGATCAAACTTTATTATAAATATCTTCAAAGACTAGGACAATTTTGAATTGAGATCAAAACTGGTGGGCCGAAGCGTTTGGGGGACGCCGTCGGAAGACACCTTTCCCCTTTTTTTGAAGCATAAAGTTTCGCAGTATTTCTTCCCAGATGTAGTTCTTCACAAAACTTGTATTTGGATGGGGGAGGAAAGTTGGCTACTGACAAAAACTGTTCTTTGTGGCAAAGAAGGGGTGCCACCAAAGAACATTGCACCAGGCACTTCGAACCCTTGTGTCGCCGTGGAGATCCATGCATATTAATAATATAATCTTGTCCTCTGACAGGCTGAGCTTGTTGTCAATCAGGAAGCCATGATATAACATACTTTGAATACGAGAGAAAATCCACACTAGCGACGCATGGGGGGGGGGCTGTGGGGAGAAATTGTTATGGTATTTCACCTCATCTTAGTGCAAGAGGGACAGTTCGTCACAAAACATTGACCGCTAGCGCCTCAAAGAACAAAGAACATTGCCTGTAAAAGCAACATTATGGGAGTAGATTTGTGGAGTGGATCAGAGAAACTCATTTATTGGACATTTTTTTGTAATGCACATTGTGCCTGTATTTCATGATTAACTTCAGAAAAAGATTCCTTATTGGCAAACGACGTGAGTGTACACTGGTGTAAAGATACCTTATTGGCAAAAGATGTAAGTGTACAATGGTGTAAAGATACCTTATTGGCAAACGATGTGAGTGTACACTGGTATAATTTTTGGACATAAATTCAAAGATTTTGAAAAAATGAGAGGTAAAGGAATCATTTTAAATTTGCGTACAAAATTTGCACCAAGGTATTTTTGTAAACATCTTTGTATAATTTGTAATAGAAGTGAAAAAAATTATATTTGCTTTTAGTATTGATTAGTCAGCTCCCCTTTCCCAAATATGTGGGTCTGATGTTACTTGTTCATTAAAATACAAACTTCTGCTGAATGTAAATCTTTCTGGAACACACTTGCGTACACTTTAGATACTTACCGGTATTTGGTAATAGCCATATCTAGCATGACTATAAAACGTTTAACAAAATTGCGGACTTATTCATTGCTACCTATGAACGAGGATAGCAATGTCTTAGACGACAATGGGAAAGAAATATTAGTATAATATTCTGAACTGATCACGCTCTGTGGGTGAGTGTGTATACATACATACATACATACATACATACATACATACATACATACATACATACATACATACATACATACATACATACATACATACATACATACATACATACATACATACATACATACACACACACACACACACACACACACACATACATACATACATACATACATACATACATACATACATACATACATACATACATACATACATACATACATACATACATACATACATACATAATGTACATTGTATCAATGATATACCTTTTCATTAAAAGGAAACGACATTTGCTGAATTTCCTTTTAATGAATAATTTGTACAACGATTAGTATATCATTGATACAAAGTACATACTGTACATATATTTTATTTATATCACATACAAATACATATTTGACCTTTGAAAGAAGATTAGATTTACTACAGACAGCCGGGTATTGAACTAGTGAATAAACTCCTCATATCCCCGAATGTGTGCGCTACAAAATGTAATTCTACACCGTAGTGGCAATTTACAATCAACTCTGCATATTGATAAGATGATTTTTTTTTTATTTTTTTTATTTTTTTTTTTGATTTTTATTTTTTTCTCTGCATGGATTAAATCAATATAATGCACAATTATGATTTAAACATGAAAGATGGTTTTAATAATTGAAGTAGAGCAGTAGCAATACTTGGTTATCTACACCATTCAAATTAACGCAATGTCATTCTCCTTCAAGCGCATGAAAATTAATGTGGAATAGAAACAAAGCCAACTGATGAACCAACAAGAAGTAATTAGCAGCTTTAGCAGCAGTATACCTCTCTCTCTCTCTCTCTCTCTCTCTCTCTCTCTCTCTCTCTCTCTCTCTCTCTCTCTCTCTCTCTCTCTCTCTCTCTCTCTCTCTCTCTCTCTCTCTCTCTCTCTCTCTCTCTCTCTCTCTCTCTCTCTCTCTCTCTCTCTCTCTCTCTCTCTCTCTCTCTCTCTCTCTCTCATATATCCTTTGGTTGGTTAGACTTAACCTTTACCAGCCAGAGTCCAGAGATATTGTCGGAAAATCCTCTACGAGAGAGCTTTGAACATTTTCATATTTATATAATAATAATAATAATAATAATAATAATAATAATAATAATAATAATAATAATAATAATAATAAAATAATAATAATAATAATAATAATAATAATAATAATAATAATAATAATAATAATAATAATAATAATCGATTTTTTAAAGCATCATGTTATGTTTAAGGAAAAATATAACATTCAATATGTCACGGTATGCAACTGGTTTGCAACATTGTATCATTGATAAACACTGTTGATAAATCCCAATGAAAGTGCATACGTATCGGTATGACGAAATATATCCTTGTAGGTTACTTGATGTAATTTTTATTTCAAACTTTTAATCCAGTTCATATTCTCTCTCTCTCTCTCTCTCTCTCTCTCTCTCTCTCTCTCTCTCTCTCTCTCTCTCTCTCTCTCTCTCTCTCTCTCTCTCTCTCTCTCTCTCTCTCTCTCTCTCTCTCTCCTCGTTTCTGCGTAGTTTGTCCGTTACGCTTGAGAGGGAAGAAGAGAACAGAAAGCTGAAAGGATTGTGATTAAAATATGTACCATATTAAATTAATTTAAAAAACGGAGATTATTAATACTTTTCATCATTATTTTTCATGCGTAAGTAGTGGCTAATTTGTGGAAATTAACCATTGATCTAGAATCAATTGCATATAACTTCAAATATGATTTAAAATGATTCCATACAGAAAGTAATTTTGGAACAATGCCATTCATAGCTTTGTCTTTTAAACTGTCTCGAGTAAACATATTTATCTTTCAAAACATTTAAAGTAACTCTTGTTTTAAGTTTAACCTAAAGGATCTCTTTCCCTTTATTAAAACTTTACTCCATCAATATCTCAAATTTATTATTTTTGAAGAGTGAAATATTTTCAGAATTGTACAACTACTGTCGCTAAAATAAGGGAATACATGTAGAAGGCTTTACATTTCACGAAAAGACGGAGAACAGAAGTAATGCTTTCCCCTTTCATAGGTTATATACTTTGCTTGGTGCACAAAGTTTATAGCTAGTGATACATGTAAGCAGACGATCTTCATTAAGAGCAAATTACCTACAAATAGAGAGCCAGCAAGTGACTGAATATTTCTTTCAAGAACTTAAACATTAATTTGATGAATTTTGCCTGTCCGATCAAGGTTTTAATTAAATAACACTTTTGTTAGAAATCAAATTCCTTGACTTAAGCAGCATTAAGAAAAAGCGACCTATTGACCCCCCCCTTACCCTAACCTGGAGCTAAATATTGCCATACGCCAGGATTAATCTTGTTTTACTTACTACTCCTGTTCTTCAACTGCCAAGAATAGTTCGAGGGTTATTCCACAGTATCTCGACGATGCACTGGAGAAGAGAAGTTTATGTTTATGGCAACCCTGAAAAGAAAATCGAGATATTAGCCACAACAGTAATATTACTAGTCATCGGGGTGATGACAGCGTGATAGCAATAGTTCTATGTTTAAACTGGTATCAAAGTATGGGTGGCAGAACTGTTTTAACGCAAATACTTATGTCACCATAAGATGCATGTCACAATGAACTGTCACCATAATGACGATTTGCGCTGTAACATACTCACCCAGAGACAGACAGACAGTATTATATTTTAATTTAGGGTTTAGACGTCTACAATGTAGAAAGAAAAGAACATTAAAAAAATGAAAGAATTTAAGTGAACAATATCTACTCTAACACCGATCCGGTGGCCTAATTGGTTAGAGCATCCGCCCCAGATGCAGAAGGTCGCAGGTTCGAACCCAGGCTGAGTCATAACAAAAACGACACTAGCCGCTACCTGGCTTGGCGCTCATCATTAAGGGTTAGTGATAGGACTGGTCGGACTGGTGTCAGAATAACATGACTGGGTGGGACAAGATGCAACATATCTGCGGCACGACGCCCAAGTGCTAGACATCACTATAAACTTCCACAATGTTGACATTGGTGCGATATGACGGGAAAAAATGTTAAAGCTATGTAAAAATTCAAAATCACACACAGACACACACTCACACACACATGATAATTTAACAACTGTCTGTTTTATGATGCAGACATGAAATTAGTTTAAAATGTTAATCAGTTCAGAGGCACGCTATTTTTCCAAGTACCTTCTTAAAATCCTTAGGAGACGTTGAACAATCAAAATCAAACCGAAATCTCTCAAGTGAACACACTCCCAACAAAAAAATCCCCCCCCCAATAAGTTCGGTATTTTATTGTTGCTTTGGTCTCTTTCCATCTATACGTCAGTCTTAATGTTCCTTACAAACCTCAAACATTTTACTGTTAAATAATGACTTTGATTCTCTTAAACCTACATAGACGCTAATTTCAAATGTCCTTTTACATTTTAAGAATTAATCACGGAAAATTTTCAAAAAGGAAGAAAATTATTTGCAATCTGTAAGTCGCTAGCTTATGGTTGTGATATTAAGATTGCGTCGGACATTGCTCATTCGCAGTAAATCGTCATCCGCTGTATGATGAACGGCACTGCTTGATAGGACATAATTAAATATTCGATGTTCTTGGCAGTAAAATACTGACTGTCTTTAAAAGTTGTCATTGACAGTAGTGCATCACATTTTTGGACATCCATATTTAGTGGTACACAAAAAGTGCCGAGACTGACCACACAAATCTCGATTCGTTTTATCAATTTAGTTCAGGAGTCTTAAGTTGAGGACACTCTGTATTTCGAAGTTAGCCACCTGGAAGACCGAAACCAAGAAATTTAAGTCATATTGATTAGATGTGATGTGATGTGATTTTGATTTTTAACGTAGCTTTAACAATTTTTCTGTCATATCGCTACGATATGACGCAGACATGCGGCATGATGTCCCACCCAGTCACATTATCCTGACACCAGGCCAATCAGTCCTAACACTAACCTCTTAATGCTGAGTGTCAAGCGAAGCAGCTATTAGTACCATTTTTGTAAGTCTTTGGTATGACTCGACCGGGCATCGAACCCACAACCTCCCGCATCCGTGGCGGACGCTCGAACCACTAGGCCACCGGAGCAGTTAATATTGATTAGAGATGTAGGGCATTTAGGTGACTGTTTTATTTGATCATATTGTATTTTGCTTGACGCTTGGCTCTTCTTAAAAGTTTGAGTTAATTTAATCTTGTGTTTCATTGCTGGTAGTCGAAAATTCATGTCAAAGGTCGGCGAGTAGGAAGCATTAGTTTTTGGTAAGTGAAAGTTCTGTAAGCCTCTATTTGCTTTGCTGGCAGATCTTTGTTTTCTAACAGGCTCTTACACAACGTATTGTTCCTATTAATTATGTACTTACCTGAGGTTTACGAAACAGTTCTTTTATAACGTTTTTATCCTTTCTTAAGTTACTTTTCCTTAGACCTGTATTAGAGACGTGGTTCCTTGTGTGTGCGCAAAGTTGATGAAGTCTTGATGATTAATTGTTTCTTCTTCTTCTTCTTCTTCTTCTTCTTCTTCTTCTTCTTCTTCTTCTTCTTCTTCTTCTTCTTCTTCTTCTTATTATTATTATTATTATTATTATTATTATTATTATTATTATTATTATTATTATTAAACTAACACTAGATTGTGAAGAACGTGAATTCGAGCAGACGCTTCAATCATACACAAATTATATGAGACCCTGCTTGCTATCAACTAGAAGTAATAAAAATGCATCGTAATGTTTAGATATGTTATTGTCATATAAACTACTATTATAATGATGCCGGGAAAGTTCAGCCAATAAGGTCTGTTTTAGGAAATTAAGAGCGTAAAATTTTTTGCGCGAATCTGCATTTTCCCATTGGACAGATGGATTAGGACGGTTCTAGAAAATTAATTTAAATCTTATTGGCTGAGTTAGGCAGCATCAATAGAAATTTGAAAACATTAGAAAAAGTAGAATGATCTGTCGCGTGAGGGATGTGGCGAAATATAGTCGTATTGTAACAACAAGTCTGCAGATGTATTTTTTGCTGTACTTAGATATTATTTGAGGGGAAAACATTTGTTTAGACTGTTCAATGGACATAGAAAGTGTTCACCGTTTTGACTATAATAATCTGGAACTAATTTGAATTATTCAAAATAGTTCTGACAATGCTATTTTGACAGAATGTGTGTATGTGCGCACATGCGTGCGTGAGTGATTGCGTACGTACGTACGTACGTACGTACGTACGTACGTACGTACGTACGTACGTACGTACGTACGTACGTATGTATGTATGTATGTATGTATGTATGTATGTATGTATGTATGTATGTATGTATGTATGTATGTATGTATGTATGTATGTATGTATGTATGTATGTATGTATGTATGTATGTATTTATGTATGTATGTATGTGCTCGTTTCAGTGTTTTTATCATACAGAGAATGAAAACAACCGAAATGTTATGTTGTTTAAATACTTCCCTGTACCTGAGACTTTGTCATGTGTCATAGTTCATCGCCATTAATCGATCATTGTCACGGAATTGTATAAATCTATTTCTTTATTAAATACATGTGTCCAGGTTTCGTTTCTCTTGTACAACGATACCCGATGTTAATTGATGTATATTCTGCATTACTTCGAAACGATGAGCTCGGTTCATTCGCTTGAAGTGCTTTTGATAGGAAACCCCGAATGCCTGAATTGAATAGACGATGTTAAGCTGCATTGTCTGTGCATAAATGCATCAAAGTAAGATCAGTTCGACATATTACGGAACGTTTTGTCAGTCGGCAGTATACTTAGAGAGACCTGCATATCTCCAGCTGTAGAGGTATGCAAATTATTTATTTCTTATGTGTATTATAAGTTATAACCATTGTATATAACGACATTACATGTTACCGTATATACTCGAGTCATGCATAGTACAAGGTATTGGAATTACTTTCAGCTGATGGGAGCTAATCCATGGTGATCATAGCTGACCATGGTGATCAGAAGTGATCGTGACAGTTGTGGTGCTGATCTATGGGGACCAGAGCTGACGGTAGCTGTGGAGCTGACCATGGTGGTCAGAGTTGACAATGTACCAGCTAAAGAGCTGGCCCTGAAAGTGACATGACGGCTGTGGTGCTGGCCATAGCGGCTGTGAAGCAAATGATGGAGTTGGCAACGGAGCTGTGGTGGGCGCTAATTGCTTGTCTTACCTAGACTATAATCTTTGATTGTTTGGCCAGTGGAACTTGTAGCAAAGAGTGACGTCCAGGGAGTTTATATGTTGCTCCATACATGAAATCTTTTGGCCGTGGGCTAACTTCGGGGTCTTGTTATACCCAGTATTTAGGAAGTGAAGAGATATCTTGTGATATCTATCTTCATTATCATTGTACTATTTGAGTAAAATATCAGTTCACTATTTTGAGTGAATACTTCATTTGTTCTGCTATTTGTGATATACCGTTAATTGTACTTTCTTTCTGTCCTTGTACCGTATAAGAATATATATGTGTAATTGCATTTGTTGCATGTGTAGGTTTGTGCGTATTATGTTAATTCGTCCAATATTTGAACCCATACACGCACGTATCAATCATATTTTGTTTTTTATTTAAATCTTACATCAATAAATATTGTATTTGTATTGCCATCAACAGAGTTTTGTTGTTAATCCGAAATCCCATGTCGGTTATCATTACAAACATAGAATTCGAATGTTCAAAAAGGTAACACGTATATTCTGACACGTATAAATTTGAAAAGAAAACCAAACCAATAAATGTATTGAATAATTTAACAAAAATGTTAATTTGGGGTTATTTTATTTAAAAGACCTATTAAAAGATAGCAAGTCCCGAAGTTTTTAAAAAATATGCTGAAAGATTAGATATTTAAATTTCTTTGTTGTCCTGGTCATTAACGTCCGATATATTTATTGTTATACAAGATGGACAATATTATATTACATGCATTTCTTGTTTCACTCCAGATTTATTTTTGTACGGAAAACAACCGGGGTCAGATTTTTGTTTTTCATTGCTTATAGTTTCATTTTTACTTTCTAAATATATGTACCTAAAATTATTTAAGAAAAAAGTTCCCGAAGAAGTGGTGACTATTTCTTTACATATTTTATGTTTTGTTTTTGCTAACAATTGTAGTTTTAATGTGACATGTGTCAATTCATTTTGCCGTCTATTGTTTATTATGGCAAATTAAATAGATTTAAACTAATGTATGTGGTAATGAAACACGATTTGTAACCCAAATTTTACTCTAACAAATTTTGTATTATCGACTATGCCTTAGATTTATAGAAAATTTAGAGGGATATTTAATAATCATAGTTTTTAATAATGAACAAATCTTAGAAACTTAACTTAATACTTAGTCTACCGTACTCGGCTAGAGTGGGTTGCAAGCGCGAATCTTGAAAAGATCATAAATGGCCGCTTGCCATCATGTTACTCTTAACCAGTTAATAACCTCCAATTCCCTCGCAACTAAATAGCCTTTTCATACGTAGAATTGTCCTTAATTACCAGTCAATTAATCAGTTTTACCAATAATTGAAAATTCAGGTTGTACATGAAATCCTCTTACCTTCCAAACATGGCATTCTTATCTCAGTCTGACGGTCAAACGGAGCACCTACGTTGGTCATTTGCATGATGATCGGAAATTTAAGGGCAGATATCACCTTCATACTGCAGTATTGTGGAGATGGGAGTCATGGTATGAGCAAGTCCTCTCTCTCTCTCTCTCTCTCTCTCTCTCTCTCTCTCTCTCTCTCTCTCCGCTTCTTCATCGGCGTACACACACACACACACACCGTTGAGG